GATACCCCATCATCATACAACTGATTATGTTATCTGCCTCTGTTATGAACAGACAGATTTTTTGACCTTTGTTGCTATCATTTCTAGGTTTGCTTCCCCCCCCCCCCTTATCTTTCTCACATAATAAAAAAGGGTGACTGAAAAATGTTTTGCTGGAAAATGGAATATCAACTACTGACACTAGATGTCACCAAAAGAGTACAGATTTCTTTCCAAACTGTGTCAGCCCTGCCTTGACCATTTAAAAAATAATGTAGCAATACATTTGATAATCTCTATCAAATATGGCAAAAAATGACATGATAACAACTAAGCTTGGATTTTCATAGCACAGTAAGTGGTTGAAGGCTCCAGCTGTGTTGTAATAAAGTCTGCAATCACTATGTTAGTTCTGTAATAGGCTGAATGGATTGTTGCTTGCCAAATTATTCATGCCCACAATCTTACAGGTTTTTAGAAAAAAAGAGGCAATACCATCAAATTTCCTTTGAAGTGCATTGCTGTACCTGTTGATGTGCAGTCAAATCAGATAGACTAGAGGCAATGCTTATGCAAAGTTCAAGACTGCTATTATTCTGCTTTAACTTCCATGGCAACATTCTACGGAATCCTTGGATTTGCAGTATACGTAAAGGGCATTTTGAATTTCCAGACAGCTCTAGTCTCTCACCAGACTACAAATCCCTGAATTTCATAGGATAAAGCAATGGTAGTTAAAATCGAACCATGGTGAAGTATCCCAAGTGAGGCATCCATGTTATGGTTGATATTCCAGTGATGGAAATGTTGGCCAATAAAGATGGTGCCTCTCTGTAAATATTGTCAAGCCAGTGTTGACAATGTTGACAAGACTTGACAAGGCTGTCAAGTCAGCCTTGGTGATCTAATGGGGGAGTGATGCCATGTATGAAATGTGCCTTGTATCATCTTCCACCACAAGCAACCTTATTCAATATACCATATTGTCTATAAGACTTTTTTTTGTCGTGTCAGGAGTGACCTGAGAAACTGCAAGTCGCTCCTGTTGTGAGAGAATTGGCCGTCTGCAAGGACGTTGCCCAGGGGATGCCAGAATGATTTGATGTTTTTATCATCCTTGTGGGAGGCTTCTCTCATGAGGAGCTGGAGCTGATAGAGGGAGCTCATCCGCCTCTCCCTGGATTCGAACCTGTGACCTGTCGGTCCTCAGTCCTGCCAGCACAGAGCTTTAACCCACTGCGCCACCGGGGGCTCCCCATCTATAAGACTGAAAGACTACAACAGATATATTACTACTAAGTTTTTTGTTTTCACATATTTTTAGCATTGATTGGTATGGGCACAGATCTAATTTGGGGGTTATCCTTTCCCCCCTGAATGTTTCTCTCTGGAATATAGTTACCCGTGAGATGGCGAAGCATGGTGGGTGTCATATAAGAGCTATGAGGCAGAAAATTGAAAGAGAGTGAGAGAAACAGAAAAGATAATTTTCTAACTCGTTTATTCAGTTTTGTAATTGTTCTGGAATAAATATAAACCAGTACAAGAATACTTTAGATCACATAACAGATGTGAAATGTGAATGTTTTCAACCTTCTGGAAACCACTTGAAATATTCCAATCCATTCCCTCCCCTTCCACCAATTTACATTTCATATGATTTCTATTTTGGTGTGCAAACCACAATATGGGAGGAGGGGGAGGTCTAGTGGGATAAGGTCCTTATATATAGATAGGCGTTTAAAAACATACTGGGTGTAAGTGGTGAGGCAGACTCATGTTCCACACTGTGTCTAAGTGTTAACATAGGTTCAATAAGGGATTCTGGAGGCAGATGCTGTTCACAGAGTTACAGTGGGACTGGTTAAGATCTGTGTTCCTCCTGTAAAATAAGTTAAGGTAAGATCCCATTCTACTCAGCTAAAGCTTTATTCAGTTATTTTCTCCAGACACACTGCTTCAATATGGCACTGAAAATCTGGATTTTTAAAGCCTTTTTTCACCATCCTCCAAGTGCTGGTGCTGCCAAGATGTCTAGCTGGACACAGAATGAGGAAGAAGATGAGGAGCTGGGTGGGCATAAAAAGACTTTGTAAAAAAAGAACTTCCTTGCCAGAGGAACTCAGGACTTCATCACACGCTGTGCTGCAAGTGTCCTAGTATGCTTGCAGCACAGCTGATTGACGGATTCCCAAGCTGCTCTTCACATGATGTAGGCTCACTTCTATTCAACGCTATTGATGAACTGGGGCACAAGCATCCCTCAATGCTTCACCCAGAACATGGGAGGCTTCCCATGTTCCATTGGAAACCACAGGGCCAGCGTGAGGGGAAGCCATGCTGCAATGCCTCCCCATGTGTGATGGAGATGTTACTGCTGGTGAGGTGGAGTGCTGGGATTACCCTACTGCCCTGTCAATTTATCACAGAGGCTGGTGAATCACCCTGCAGCACTTCATCAGCATGTTGAAATCCTGAGTTCTGTGTATAAAAATGAAACAGAGCTAGTGATGGCAAAGGAGTAAAGATGAAACTGAGCTAATGATGGAGAGATGCCTTCCCTTCATAACATAGAAAGTTTAAAGCTCAGGGGAAGGACTGACAAGTAGCAACTATGGTCTAGAGTGCCTTTTATTAACTGCTTTACAGCTATTCTCAGTAATGAACCAGATCTATTATCATCCATGCCTTGGTAACTTCCAGATTAGACACCTAAAATGCAATATAAGTAAGCCAGCCCTTGGAATCAGTTTGTAAACTATGGCTGCTACAGAATCTACCCTAACACACACTGATGAGAGCTGCTTTTGAGAGAAAATCAGTGTTGGTTACAATTTTGTTGTGGAGCCAGCACTGGCTTGGCCTTAAATGTATTTCTGAACAGTGCATGAAAACCTGGATTGTAAGGTCTGGCAATGATCCTTCCAGATCCTTGTTGTGGGGAGCTGAGATGTTCCTTTGTTATGACCAAAGCTGGGAAGGATTACAGATTGGAACAACAATTCCCAGACATTCTCAAACAGTATGGCCACTGACTGTACTTGCCATGGGATCCTGGAGTTTTAGGTCACAAAAGGGAACAATTCCAATTTCCCACGAAGAACAGAACTCCTTCTGGAAATTTACTGGAGTTATGTGCTTCCCTAAAATTCTGGCATTCTCTATTGGTCTTTTTTTTTCCCCCCCAGAGGCATGCAAACAACTTTTTGCTGTTGTTCCCAGTCATTTGTTGGCATCGAATTGTGCCTTTTGTAAGCCGCCCTGAGTCCCCCCTCGGGGGTTGAGAAGGGCGGGGTAGAAATGCGCGAAATAAATAAATAAATAAAATTTGGAAATCAGATTATTTTTTACTCTTTAAAACCTAGTTTTAAATTGTGGTCTTTACAGTCTTTTTGTCAAATAGTTCAATCGTTCTGTTTAATTTCATGCAAGCTAATCTTCTAAACTAAATAGAAAAACATGTGCTTTTGTTGTTTATTTGTTCAGTCACTTCTGACTCTTCGTGACCTCATGGACCAGCCGATGCCAGAGCTTCCCATGTGCTCTAGACAGATTATTATTTGTACCCACACTGACAACTAAATAGTGATCAGAATTTATTTTTTTGGCTTTATTCTTGTTCTGCCATCGCTTCAGTGTTGTTGTTTCTTACATGGGCACATTTCTATAATATATTCTTTATTCCACAGTGTGAAGGTACTGAGAATGAGGGAAAGAGTAGTTTGCCAAATGAATTTGTACAGGTTGAATATCCCTTATTCCACATGCTTGGGATCAGAAGTATTTTGCATTATTGACATTTTTGGATTTTAGAATCCTTATATAAACATAAAGAGATGAGATCCAAATCCAAACACAAAATACATTTATTTTCTATACACCTCGCTCGAGAGCAGTACGTGTGAAAAAGATCTTGGAGTCCTCGTGGACAACAAGTTAAACATGAGCCAACAATGTGATGTGGCGGCAAAAAAAGCCAATGGGATTTTGGCCTGCATCAATAGGAGCATAGTGTCTAGATCCAGGGAAGTCATGCTACCCATGCTTTATTCTGCTTTGGTTAGACCACACCTGGAATATTGTGTTGAATTCTGGACACCACAATTCAAGAGAGATATTGACAAGCTGGAATGTGTCCAGAGGAGGGTGACTAAAATGATCAAGGGTCTGAAGAACAAGCCCTATGAGGAGTGGCTTAAGGAGCTGGGCGTGTTTAGCCTGAAGAAGAGAAGGCTGAGAGGAGGTATGATAGCCATGTATACATATGTGAGAGGAAGCCACAGGGAGGAGGGAGCAAGCTTGTTTTCTGCTTCCCTGGAGACTAGGACGCGAAATAATGGCTTCAAACTACAAGAAAGGAGATTCCATCTGAACACGAGGAAGAACTTCCTGACTGTGAGAGCCATTCAGAAGTGGAACTCTCTGCCCTGGAGTGTGGTGGAGGCTCCTTCTTTGGAAGCTTTTAAACAGAGGCTGGATGGTCATCTGTCAGGAGTGATTGGAATGCAATATTCCTGCTTCTTGGCAGGGGGTTGGACTGGATGGCCCATGAGGTCTCTTCCAACTCTTTGATTCTATGATTTTATAATTCTATGGTCTGAAGGATATTTCATACAACCTTTTAAGTAACTTTCAATAAGAAACAAGCTTGGCATACATTGGAGCATTAGGAAGCAAAGGTATCATTGTCTTAGCCATCCATATGGACAATTTTCGGATTTGAGGTATATCAGATTTTGGAATTCCAAAAAAAGGATATTCAACCGGTAGTGAGTTAGTAAAAGATCTGATTTGAAGCAATGATGTACTGGCTAGAGATATATTCTGATTTTCTTCAGTATGTTTTGATTTCACTGGTTGATTTAAAGCTAACTATTGCTTAGGGACAGGCTCATAGATGCCCAAATAAAACCTTTACTTCATGGTGTGGCATCATTTGGTAAAACATGTTTCACAGTTCATTGAAATCAGGTCCTGCCTTCAGAAGCACATACCTTTGCATCAAGGACAATTACTCTTAATAGGATTTGCTACTTGGAAGCTGTTGGTATGTCTCTTGCAAGATCTGCACTGTGTTTACTCACAGAAGAATATGGACCTCGTGCATCACACGTTTCCGTTCTTTCTTCTTCTCTTCCTTTATGGAACAAAAGTGGCAATTTCATCTTGTGTCACAGGATGCTCCTGTTCCAATGATAACTTTGGAAGGTAAGAATATTGCAAACATGAGAGAAAAATGTGTGGGGAGGGTTCTGTTAGCTAGCAGGTTGATTATGCGGAGTACTATCATATATGGAAATGGTGGCAACAAGCACAATTCAGCAAACTGTAAGCTTGCAATAAATGGAAAATAGATGAGCTCCCCAAGTGAGTCACATGCAGATTTATGTGGATAAAAAGATGCATAAAAGAGTGAGATGTACTTTTGAATGAATATGTGCAGCATATTTCATTATTTTCAGTTGAACTTAGCATCAACTAATTGATTAATAGCTGGATTGTTAGTAGCTGGAGTTTGGAAAAAATGCTGTTTGATTTCAAATGGATTTTTAATGTTAAGGTATTGTGACTTTCCTATTTAGCATTAGGATTTTATGTTAATAACCATTTTAATGTGTTTTTGCACATGTTACCAGTTTTATGACCAGTAAGATGAAAATAAATACATTTACTGTTACAGTGCCAATAAACCTGTAAAAAAACCCCACTCCCACACAAATCCACAGCACACCTGTGTTTGTCTGTTGTAGAAAAAGAATGAAGGGTTTTTTGGCACACTGAAGACTAATACATTTTATTTAGCATAAGATTTTGCAGACTCCAGACCATAAAAATGCCAAATCACACCCTTTTTTCCTGTGAAATGAAAAGGCCCTTTGCAAAAAAACAAAGTCTGCCTTGCAGTCAATTCAATGAATTAATATTGAATGGATAATCCATACAAATAATGTGCTAACTTTGCTGATTTCCATTCTAGGAGTTTGCTTTGCATGTCAACATCTCTGAAAAAGATTCCAGCAGGCATCCCACAAGATATCAAAAAAATTAGAATAGAAAACTCCCACCTAACAGAATTGCCTCGTGGGTCATTCTCGAATGTTAGTGCCTTGCAGTATCTTTGGCTTAACTTTAATAACATCACCGTCATGCATCTAAAAAGCCTTGAGTACCTGAAAGATTTGACTGAGCTGAGACTACAGGGGAACAAGTTGAGTTCAGTACCATGGACAGCATTCCAAGACACCCCAGCTTTAAAAATACTGGATCTAAAACACAACAAGCTTGATGTCCTTCCGGAACATGCCCTCCGCTATCTGCCTAGTCTGACCTATTTAGACTTATCTTCCAATCAGCTTACTGTCATCTCCAAGGATGTTTTCTATAATTGGCCTGTGTACCAAAAGGCCCAGCAGCTGGAGAAGAAGGTGGAGGCTATTTCCAATGCAGTCTTGGCCTTGCATGACAACCCTTGGATATGTGACTGCCGTCTTCGTGGATTTGTCCAGTTCATCAAATCTATTAGCCCACCAGTCATTCTGATGAATTCCTATTTAACTTGTTCAAGTCCCAAATTTAGGGCAGGCAAGTACTTCCATGAAGTGGAGCTGAACAGCTGCACGAAGCCCTTGGTATCACCTCTTGAATCAAATGTGACTGTGCTTGTTGGGCTCAATACTACCTTGACCTGTTTGGTGCAGGCCAGCCCCTTCCCAGTAGTCTGGTGGATTTATACACTAAAACACCTACGAGGATTTAATGGTAAGCACGATTTCTTGGAAAGCTATTAATGACCTCATCAGATGGCCCTATGTAAAACAGAGGGCAAAGTGGGAAATCATGGGGCAGCATAGGGAACCATCTTGCTGTATTCCCTATGGTTGGGGTCCGTGGTATCCCTTTCCACAATGTTTCCCCACTGTCCCCCATTTCCTCTTTGGCTCCTCTACCTTTTTTCTATGAGGGGTTGGGTGTCCAAATGACTCCTCTGGGCTCCACTGCTGCAATGCTCCCAGCATGGAGCTCCACAGAATTTCGCTAGAAGAAGCCCTGTGTCATATGATGGGTTCTGGGGGACTCCATGTCAGAATCTGAGAAAAGCAGAGATAAGATACTTCTCTCCCTGCATGTGATGATGTCGTCTCTAGCAGTAGTTCCTGTTTCAAAAAGATTCTCCTGTCCCTGAACTACGAATTGGAGGCTTGACCCTATATCTGCTAAATTGATAAAGTTCATTGAGTTCAGTGGGAGTGAAGTGTGATAAGACCAAATATTTTACCTGTTTTGTTGACTGGGTTGCCAGTATTGAAAATAAAGGTTGGGAAGGCCTCAAGCATATTTTTTCTATCGCTAAAGTACCATGTTGATTTAGGGATACAAAACCACGAGATGCCTTCATGACCAACATTTCCATTTTTATTTCTTAAATTAATGTCTTTGTTTTTCTAAAATGCTCCAAGTAGACCATCACTGGGCTAAAAGTTTCTAATCTGGAGTAGAAGTTGCTAAGTTACTAACTCAATCTATTCCCACAGATTTCAATTCCAGTTTTGTTCGTTAAACTGCTTTGTGTTTTTTAAGGCCATAGGGTGGAATCCTGTTGATAACAGTGTATGACTCATATACAATACATGTTGGGAGCAGTATAAGGGCCTAAACCTGGTGCCTAAAGACACCAAACCATGTCCGATCTTGAAAATGAAGTAGAATCATCCCTGGTTAATACCTGGAGGGAAGACTCAGACCAATGGTAAATAAATACCTGGTGCTGTAGGCTATATTTCAGAGGGAGGAGATAGGAAAATTAGTTTTGTGTATTGCTTACCTAAGAACACCCTATAAAGTTCATGAAGTTGCCATGAGTCAGCAAGCATCTTGAAGCTCTCTCACACAGCAATATAGCAGCAAGGAGCAGGAGGGAGGGTGAACTGCAGAGAAAAACATCTCCTTTTTCAGAGGAAACTGCCTTGACAGTTCCTATATATTTTGGCAACTGACAGGACACATTTCCTCCCTAACAAGGAAAGTTTTTTCCCCCTGTTGTCTCTACTGGCATTGCATTTACTTGAGTTGTGACTGCTGGCATACTTATACCAGACAACAGAATCATGCCTTAATGAGATTACTCAGGCATAGGGTTTGCCCACCCTTCTGACACCCAGAAGAGTGCTGTTTTCATAGCATTCTTTTAATAATGTTATTATGTTATTATCTTCACTTGTGTCCCCTAAATCTATGACTCTAGATTCACAAAATAAAAACAATATAGTTTAAGCATACCCAAAAAATCAACATTCAAATGGAATTAATCTGTCCTCAGTGTCTAAAACACACAGTTAAAAACCACACTCTTTATCAAAACTGTGTTAGAGGGAGAAAAAACCATTTGCCTGCTGATGAAAGGATAGTAAGGGCTTTCTCACCTATCTAGGAAGGTGGATTCAGTGCTTGGCTCTGTCTCACATCTCCAGCAGCTCTTCCTCTGACAATGATTGGAACAAGAGAAGGGCTTCCCATGTCCTTCTGAGGGCAAGATTAGGCTCATATGGTATGATACAATTTGTGTGAAAGACTGGACATGAACTATATAGGGATTTATAGGCCATAACTGGCACCTTAAATTGTGCCTGGAAGCTGAGCTGCAACTAGTGTTGCAGAACCAAGGAAGTTGTAAGTCTACAACTGCTATACCATAGGATGTGGATAACACATCCCCTTTGTGGATGCTGTAAACCTATGATGCCCATCAGCCTACATCAGCCTGTATTGGATAGGGCTGACAGGTAGACCCTATGATCTCTGTATGACAACTGCTTTGTTGTCATACAGCATTGAGTTGAAACTGCTGTGTCTCAATAGCCAAGACCCTTCATCATGGCTTGCCTTGCATAACTTTTTGAATCCTTCAAAATGAACTCCTATTAGTAAATAGTGAAGATGCATATTGGGACAGCAGTAAAAGGGCTCTGTTGCACATCAGGCTCTTCTGATACTTATTGACCTCTCCTGGTGCACATGAGCCACCTCTGATGAACATTGGACACTTATGACATTCATTGAGCTTTTCAGATGCGTATGGGCCTCTTCTGATGTATGCTGGGCACTTCTGATGCAGATTGAGAACCTCTAGTGCAAATCCAGTAGTCTTGTTTTGCTCCAGTACTTTCGGGTGCACATTAGGGAGTACGGGATGTGCATCAGAATGGGGTACCCACTGAGGAGCACCCCAATGCATATTGGCATCCACTGCAGATTGAACCATAGCACATCACTCATTCATTATTGTACAGTGGATGCTCACAAGTAGTAATGTCAGAACATCCCTAGATGATTACGAACATTGCCAAATGGATCAATTCTATTTCCTATATATGTAAGTCCACTTACAACAATATCAGTCCACTATACCAAATTCCAGCTAGCATCTTTAACACTCAGCTGCTAAGTATGATCCAACACAAATGAACCATAACTATTTTAATGGAAATCAATGGGATCCAGGTTACTCACAATTGAGAATGTTTCCATTGCTTTCAATTGAATATAGTTATGACTACCTTGTAGTGCAGTGGTTCTCAACCTAAGGTCCCCAGATGTTTTTGGCCTACAATTCCCAGAAATCCCAGCCGGTTTACCAGCTGTTAGGATTTCTGGGAGGTTGAAGGCCAAAAACATCTGGGGACCCCAGGTTGAGAACCACTGTTGTTGTGAGTTGTGCCCGTTCTCTTTACAGTATTACTGATCCTTGGCTTTTTTCAGTTGCTCTCTCCTGCTGCAAATTTACTGTCATTGTACATGTTAAAACTGAGCATAAAATGGATATCATTGTCAACAAAATTAAGACTCAATTATCATTTTGCAGCCTTAGCACATTGGCAAAATTGCTCATAACTTTCTCAGACAGATTCCTAGAGGGGTTTACATTTTTTTCAACTAGTCTCAGCCCTGTAGTACATTGTTCTTGACAGCTCAGACCAAATTGGTTCAGCTATTTCCAAATTTATCTGCAGACAAAAAACCTAAGATAAATATTTAAACTCAACAAATAGTGTATACCATATTTTCCCATAGGATTTTCTTGCAATTTTCTTGCAGTTCACTCAAATGGTTGCTGCTAGGAACAGTAAACTTGATTTGATTTATGAGTTATGTAGCAGGGCTGGGGAACATGTGGCCTTGCAGATATTGTTGACCTGCATGTCCTACTGATGATGCTGGCTAAGAGTTATGGAAGCTGTACTTCAATTATATCTGGAAAGCCATTTTGTCTGTACCTTAGTGGTACTACTTGTTTTCTTTGTTTGTAATCTTTGCATATAATGGACTTAACTCTAAGAGCCCCCCGATGGCACAGTGGGATAAACCCCTGTGTCGGCAGGACTGAAGACCGACAGGTCGCAGGTTCGAATCTGGGGAGAGGTGGATGAGCTCCCTCTATCAGCTCCAGCTCCTCATGCGGAGACATGAGAAAAGCCTCCCACAAGGATGATAAAAAAAAATCAAAAAATCATCCAGGTGTCCCCTGGGCAACGTCCTTGCAGACAGCCAATTCTCTCACACCAGAAGCAACTTCTGACATGACAAAAAAAAACCAACTCTAGCCAGCCAATGGTGAAGGATGATGGGTACTGTGATTTAGAATAATCTGGAGAATGATTCCCAGTCCTGCCTTAGGAAGGTTGAAAGGTCATGGGAAGAGTGCCATACTATTTCAATTTTATTCAGGAGACTTTTTCACAGATGTGTATGGATTGCTGTTTGCTTGATTTAAAGTTATTTCCAATTTATTGATTGGTTGATATTTTTGCAATTAAAGTAATATATATTCAAAAAGAATAAAGAAAAAGAAAAATAGAACAAAAAAGTGGAAAGTCATATAGCTAAAATATTGTAGGAGCCTGAGCCTCCAATCCTTTCACACAAAGAAAAATCAAAAGGAAAATATTCTGCTATTACAGATTTAACTACCTTTTTATTTAAGTCCCGATTGAATCATAAAGAGAAAAGACATCCTATCTTAAGAGATTTCTTTTATTTATTTAACCTGCCAGTGTCGCTGTGCCCGAAAATTTTAAGATATTAAGATATTTAAAAATAGATTTAGAAGAATTCTTAATAACTTTAGACACTATTGTCACTGCTTAGTTATCTCTAGGCCGGGGTGGGCAAATGTTTCCCTCGCGGTCATTTTTGTGGTCCCTAGTTAAGGGTAAAAAGAAAGCTTTGCCCTTCCAATCCCTTTGTGTGTTTTTAAAGCCTATTATTTACCTAAAAGTCAGGTGGGTAGGGATGGGGTGGAAAGTGAAAATGTCCAAAGAGTATTTGGAGCATTTCATTTTCATTTTTTTGCAATCAGCCTCCTGCAGCTGTCCAACCCTGCCCAAGATAACGATGGACAATTTGTATCTAAGATTTTTGTTTGTTTGAATCATATCTGACCTTTCTCTAGTCTGGGACCCAAAATTACAATACAGTTTTTAAAAGACACCAGTAAAGCTGTGGTTTCTTTATAACAAAATGATCTTAGGAATTTGGAACTTACAAAGGTTGCTGTTCTTCAGCTCAGCAGCTGACCAACGCACTGTATACTGATATGCACATCATAAGGCCCTATGCCAGTGATGGGCAACATTTTCGGCTTGGTGTGTCAAAATTCGCCAAAAAACCAAGCATAACTTGGGTAAGGTGTCACTTTGAGAAAAAGTAATAATTTCACAATATTTATAGTTTACATAACAAAAATGTATAATTGTAATATAATCTATTTATATTCCATGTTCTGCTTACTACCGTTTCAGGACATAGAATGCAAAATGATCTGCCATTTTTTTTCTATAATGCCATACATCTCAGTCCATGTCTCTACTGCTACTGCTACTACCACTTTCTTTACTTAACCTTGGTTCTTTATTTTTTGGTTTCTCCATCAGGGGGGCAGTGGCAGAAGATAAAATTATATAGCCTGTTAGCCCTGCAGGCAATTGTTTATTTATTTATTTATTTATTTATTTATTTATTATTTAAACTTATATGCCGCCACTCCCCTGGGGCTCGGAGCGGCTTACAAGAACAGCTAAAATCTAACAAAGTTTAAAAGCAATTTAAAACAATTTAAAAACAACAGTATCAAACATTAAAAGCCTGTCGGAACAGGTATGTCTTACATGCCCTGCGGAAAGTTGGTAAGTCCCGCAGGGCACGAACTTCAGGTGGCAGAGCATTCCAGACTGATGGCGCCACTGCTGTGAAGGCTCTGCGTCTGGTTGCCGTTAGACGCAAGGTCTTGACACTGGGGACTTCCAATAGATCTTGGTCCTCAGAACGGAGGGATCTCTGGGGTTGGTAGGGGGTGAGACGATCCCTCAGATACATTGGCCCCAGACCATGCAAGGCCTTAAAGGTGAGTACGGTGCTCAATTGGTAACCAATGCAGCTGTAGTAAGATTGGTGTTATGTGGCATCTCATCGGAATTCCCGCAAGAAGCCGAGCAGCTGCATTTTGTATCAACTTGAGCTTCCGAATCACCGACAGAGGGAGGCCAGTGTAGAGGGCGTTACAGTAGTCCAGTCTTGAGATGACCGTGGCCTGGATCACCGTAGCTAGGTCGTCCCTGGACAGGGAGGGGGCCAGCCGTCTAGCCTTCCGCAGGTGAAAGAAGGCGGTTCTGCTCACGGCAGAGACCTGGGCCTCCATCCTCAGCAGAGGGTCCAAAAGGACTCCCAGACTCTTTTCCAATGATGACGGGCGTGGCGCCTCGCCATCCAGGGTAGGCAGATGGATGTCCCCACTGCCCGGTCGACCCAGCCATAGGATCTCCGTCTTTGCTGGATTCACCCTCAACCTTCTGGCACGCAGCCATCCAGTAACGGCCTCGAGGCACTGATGGAAACAATCGGGTACAGAGTCCGGTCGGCCTTCCATCTTCAGCACCAGCTGAGTGTCATCGGCAAACTGATAACACTCAAGCCCAAAACCTAGAACCAGCTGAGCAAGTGGTCGCATATAGATGTTAAACAATTAGGGGTTAACTATCCTAACTGACCCTTTTAGGAAAGGGCAGGGTTAATAAGCAGAAATAGGGGTTAATAAGGATGCACTATAATCTGTACTCTGGTGCAAGATGGCATTCCTTATGTAAATTAAGATGGTTTCCACTATTTCTAATGTCAGGAAACAGCAGCCATAGAATGGGCCCTCGCTTCTCACAGGCTCCCCCTCACTTATCTCAGTAATGATGGTCAATTAGAAATCTATGACACCCCAGAACAATAAGTTGGATGATGGTTGCTGTGCTTATGTGGTTGCTGGTAATGGCGATCACAGGGCCCCCAGAGATGCGTCCCCCATGGCATTCCTCTGCTCCCGGCTCCACCGGCCAGAAGTGAGGTCAAAAATCCCCTAACGGCCTAGCTGGAAGTCCCAGAACTAGATACTCTGTGCTGGAGTCCTGTTGTTTTGGCCTAAAGACCTCCTGCACAAAGTGTCTACACTGCACTACAGCAAATGTTTCATCCTTGGCTACTGCACCTGGCCGTGCAGGAGCTGATGAAATGTCCTTCTTGGCATGTGGCCCCATACTCCTCTGTATGGGCCGCATGCGGCCACGTGTCATCGAAAATGGATACGTGTGTCACTGCTGACACACGTGTCATAGGTTTGCCATCATGGTCCTATGCCATCATTGCCTTCTAATTCACACAGATTTTGGGCCTCATCGCTGAGGTCAATAAGCTGGGTGTCAGCAGCAGGATTCACCATGCAGTGGGCAGTGGGTGAAATGGTTGCCCCGCACCCTGCATTGTCTGCTGTGACCCATAATAATAATAATAATAATAATAATAATAATAATAATAATACTTTATTTATACCCCACCACCATCTCCCCAAGGGTACTCGGGGCAGCTTACATGAGGCCAAGCCCAGCAAAATACATTATTAAAAACAACACAGTAAACAAGCAAATAAAACACAGCACAATTACTAAAAATAACATATAAGCTATAACAGAGAGAATTTAAAAACACCGTGGGCAGGGCCAGACATATTGATTAAAAATTTTAAAAACACTTTCCACAGAGGAAGTGTTGCTGCCCAGATTCCCCCCAGTCTTTTGAATGAGAGCACGGGAAGCTTCCCGTGTTCTCTGGAAACATCCTAGCACTGCTAGGACACTTCCTCTATGGATCCCTGCCTAAAATAGACTTATGTCATGTGATTACATCCAGTGGCCACCATTGAGGAAGCATCCTGGAAGCAGACCAAGATGCTTCCTGAAGACCATGGTATAATGAGATTTAATGATGGTGAGGAAGTCTTATTCAACACCAGAGGCCTTCTACTGTAAGGAGGCCTTGATGTCCCCATTAGTTCATGTAAGAACCTATACTCCTAAAATGAAGTCATGTCATTTCCCCCTCAATGTTCCATTAATTACTTTGCTGCTGAGGGCAAGTTCCTATCACTAATGAAGTCATGAGAAAATCACATTCAAGAACCTATGCCTCCAAGCCAAGCATTAAAATGAAATGAAAGTGGGGGGGGGGGGGATAAGCTGCTATATAAGCAATATGAACTCTAACTTCCTAGCACTATTTTAAATCCAGTTTCCCCAAATCTCTGCCCAGTTCTAGAGTTATGTAAGTATTTCTACATTGGGTTGTTGTAGGTTTTTCCGGGCTATATGGCCATGTTCTGGAGGCAATTTTTCTCCTGACGTTTCGCCTGCATCTATGGCAAGCATCCTCAGAGGTAGTGAGGTCTGTTGGAAGTAGGAAAAACTTTACTTCCAACAGACCTCACTACCTCTGAGGATGCTTGCCATAGATGCAGGCGAAACGTCAGGAGAAAAATTGCCTCCAGAACATGGCCATATAGCCTGGAAAAACCTACAACAACCCAGTGATCCCGGCCATGAAAGCCTTCGACAATATTTCTACATTGTTTGCAACTTCTTGTCTAGTATGTTGGGGGTGTGATAAAGTGTTGTAATGACCTCATCAGATGGGGTTGTTTTTGGTGGCATACACTAGTTCTTCAGCAGTTTTGCAACAGAGCCCACGAGCTCCCATCTCACAACACAGAACTACTTTCGTTGGGGTTCCAATGCAAGACTGATGAGGAACCAGCATATGTCATTGCAGTGACAACATGGGAGGCTTCCCATGTTGCCTTGGATCAATGGGGGCATGGGGTGATCGGTTCCCCTGGCACAACTGGATTCGCCATGATCCGTAGGGATTCCGGCAGCACATAATAATAATAATAATAATAATAATAATAATAATACTTTATTTGTACTCTGCTACCATCTCCCCAAGGGACTCGGTGCAGCTTACATGAGGCCGAGCCCGAACACAACAATACAAGTAATTAAAATAAAAACATAAACAGTAAACATATAACATTATCAATAAGACAACACACAATTAAAAACTGTGGGAAGGCCACATGTAAAATTAAAATTGGAAATAGTGTTGAACGTGGATGAAAGGTGATAGTAGTGTTTGTGGAAGGACATACGAGCAGACCTAAAAAATATAAAGTGCTTAGAGGGACAAAGTGCTATGGGATCGTTAATCCAGGAAGGCACAGTGGAACAACCACGTCTTCAAGCTCCTCCTGAAAACTGCCAGGGTAGGGGCCTGCCTGATGTCCTTAGGGAGTGAATTCCAGAGTTGAGGGGCCACCACCAAAAAGGCCCTCTCTCTCGTCCCCACCAATTGTGGCTGCAATGCTGGCGGGATCGAGAGCAGGGCCTCTCCAGATGAACGAAGAGATCGTGTGGGTTCGTATACAGAGATGCGGTCACTGTTCAGGGCATATGATGTGGTCACCGTTCAGGGCATATGATGAGGTTGTACATCTATGCTAAGAAGAAAATGCTTTCCCATGGTTTGGATGGGGCTATTAAGGGAAACAATATTATAGGGCATTTAGGTTGCTACTGTTGCTGAAAGGAAAATTTTAATGTATTTGCATTTTTATCTGTTTTCTCTCTCTAGTTTCCACCACTTATATCAGTGAGGACACAATTAAGTCAGAACTGGTTATTCCTTCAGCCCACCGTGTAGATGAAGGCAATTATACCTGCATAGCGGCCAACTTCCTTGGTAACAGCTCAGCCACAATGATTCTGAAGATCCAGGCCCCTCGAATGGTGGCTTCTTCCTTCTCTTCTTCCATCCCAGAGGAGAATTCATACATTGATGTGAGAATTGCCAAGCAGACTGTCTATGGGATCACTCTTGAGTGGTATAGCATGACGGAGAATCCAGAAGAAACCTGGTATACCCTTCATTTTGGAAAATATGATGACATTAAGAAGGACATGATTTATATTGGACCCGGCATCAATAGCTACTCCGTCAATGATTTGATCCCTGCCACTAAGTATGAAGTCTGTGTCACTTTGAGGAACCAGATGCCTCAAAAGGGGCAATGCATTGTGTTTGTGACAGGAAGCGACATCAGTGGACTGGAACAAAGGGAGAAGCTCATCCACATCATTATCATTGTGTGTGCCATGGTCTTGGCTGTCCCTGCGGGAATGTATGCTTGTACCACCGAGACCAGGTTCAATTGCATGGAGAAATGTACCGAACTCTGCCGCAAGAACCGGAGAGGGCAAAACCTGAAAGCAGTCAATAAAGAGAGCACATTTGACAGCTTGCCCACAGGCAGTGAAGAGGGGCTCTGCCGACGGGAATCTAGTGATGACAAGAGAAAGCTGAAAACCAGTGAAGACAAAGAGAAGGCCAACAAGCAGAAACCTGAGCACAGAAACAGTGCTGATCTCTATTAACCTGTCTATAAGCACAATTTTGCATTAGATTAGAGAAAAATACATATAGGAAGGTGGGCAGAATTATCCCACATGTGTGGACAATAGGCCTTTGAGTTGCAACAGAGTCAATGAGGGGCTAGTATAGAAAACTGATTTTTTTCCCTTTTCAAATGATTATAGAGCTGCCAATACTTGCAATGGGCAGATAGGCAGATAATGCACAATTCATACTGATTCCAATGGGAACACCATGCCTCTTTCAGCCATCAAGCTGTGATTTACTGTGTACTAAGTAGAGAATAGATTATGTTTCTTATAGAACAATTGTACCAGTTTGAACTGTCATAATGTGCCTAGAGGACTTTTATGTAGGCCGGTCTACATTTTAGATTGCTAGGCTGTTTAGTCATTTCGTCAACATTACTGTTCCCATTGTAACTGTTTGCTTTTGTTGTTTGATGAACTTTAGAAAATCCTCCTGACTTTACCGACTACAATTGCACTGGCAAAGCTAAGAACAGTTTGCTCAACCGTATTTAACCCAAGCAAATAGCGAAATGTCTCATTTATATGAAGAACAATTTCATATAGCTTTGGCTCAAATGTGAAACTGAAACAATATAAGCAAACAAATCAAACCCAGAAGCAAACAGTTTCTTAACAATGTTCTGGTAAGTTGTGCTGGGCGAGGTGAGGAAGAAATATGTTTTGTAACATTTCTTCCAATCCATATGTAGTCACTTGAAACTTGAAACTAATAAGTGGCTCTGAAACTAAACATCAGCATTAGAAAAGGCATCATTCCATTTTAGTGGGGTAGCCAATACTCCAGAGGACACGAGCAGGATTCAAAATGATCTTGACAGATTAGAGAGATGGGCCAAAACTAACAAAATGAAGTTCAACAGGGACAAATGCAAGATACTCCACTTTGGCAGAAAAAATGAAATTCAAAGATACATAATGGGGGAAGCCTGGCTTGAGAGCAGTACGTGTGAAAAAGATCTTGGAGTCCTCGTGGACAACAAGTTAAACATGAGCCAACAATGTGATGTGGCGGCAAAAAAAGCCAATGTGATTTTGGCCTGCATCAATAGGAGCATAGTGTCTAGATCTAGGGAAGTAATGCTACCCCTCTATTCTGCTTTGGTTAGACCACACCTGGAATATTGTGTCCAATTCTGGGCACCACAATTCAAGAGAGATATTGACAAGCTGGAATGTGTCCAGAGGAGGGCGACTAAAATGATCAAGGGTCTGGAGAACAAGCCCTATGAGGAGCGGCTTAAGTAGCTGGGCATGTTTAGCCTGAAGAAGAGAAGGCTGAGAGGATATGATAGCCATGTATAAATATGTGAAAGGAAGCCACAGGGAGGAGGGAGCAAGCTTGTTTTCTGCTTGCCCTGGAGACTAGGACACAATGGAACAATGGCTTCAAACTACAAGAAAGGAGATTCCATCTGAACATGAGGAAGAACTTCCTGACTGTGAGAGCTGTTCAGCAGTGGAACTCTCTGCCCCCGAGTGTGGTGGAGGCTCCTTCTTTGGAAGCTTTTAAACAGAGGCTGGATGGCCATCTGTCAGGGGTGATTTGAATGCAATATTCCTGCTTCTTGGCAGGGGGTTGAACTGGATGGCCCATGAGGTCTCTTCCAACTCTTTGATTCTATGATTCTATTATTCTAGTGGGATATATTTAGTGTAGAATATATTCACACTGCTGTCACTGGAATAATCTTAACTTCCTTTCAATGATATCATAGACAGTTTCCAAAGGGGAAGGGTACAAATCATGGACAATGAGTTTACCTATGGTTACTAGGCTGGATAACTAAATCTTATCCAGATGCAGGGCACTTCTTAACACAGTTTAGAAAAATAATATTTTGGAATAATATGGAAGGAAAAAAAGAAAGAGGGGTCGATCAAGGGCAAGATGGATGGATGGTATCCTTGAAGTGACTGGCTTGACTCTGAAGGAGCTGGGGTGGTGACGGCCAACAGGGAGCTCTGGCGTGGGCTGGTCCATGAGGTCACGAAGAGTCAGAAATGACTAAACGAATGAACAACAACAGTTCCCAGAACAATCCAGCTGACATGGGAATGCTGGCCAAGAAATTTGGGGAGCTATAGTCCCAAAATTAAATTTGCCATGTTTTGCTTTGAATATTAGTTGCTTAGGATAGACATGATAGAAGGTTTAATAGTTTCTTATCTTGCCGATGTACCTCTTGGTACATGTTATGCCAGGCAACTGCTGAAAAAAGGATATTCAGCTTGGTGTGAACCAGAAAAAGTCTTCATAGATTCTAAAAGAAGTTCCTTGCTAGATCAAAGTATAACTGGGTTTAGCTATTCTGTTGAGTCTGCAGTAGTAGCATAAAAAACAGTTTAAAAATCAAAAACAAAAAACACTCGGATTTAGTTAAGGGCCAAATTAAAAGATGGAGCTGAAAAGAAAATATATTTATGTTGCTGAAACATATAGAATGGTGTTATTGTTTTGAAATAATGTGTGCACATGTGCATATGTAGCACAAAGTACATATTATTTGGAAAGAAATGTATAATTATGAGGATTGGGTTGTTGTAGATTTTTTCGGGCTATATGGCCATGGTCTAGAGGCATTCTCTCCTGACGTTTCGCCTGCATCCATGGCAAGCATCCTCAGAGGAAGTGAGGATTCTTCACTTGATGTGTCCATACAGGTCACAATCCCATACATGTGATGAAAAGAGGCAGATTCACGCTTTGATTTCTTGGTATGAAAAAAGGCAAGCAAGGGCATTCTTTTACTGAAATTCCTTGCACAGAAAGTGGTAGAACCTTTATCTCCCCAAAACATAATGTCACGTTCGGCACTTCTTTCATCCCAACCTGCACTAAAATAATAAAGAAATGATAAATATTTTACAGATCTTCAGTGGCATTGAGGGGAAATGCAATCTCCCCCTCTCTCTCTTTTTGAAATATTTATTAATCAATTTCTCTTCATAGAACAAAGGGAATTTACAATTTAAAAATTAAAAGACAAAGAAATAACAACCAAAATGTAAGAAATTATCAGTGAAAGCACAGTACCTAAACAGAAAAAAATGAAACATTTTGTCAATATGATTGTGGAAGTAATTTTTTTGAATGTGTTGCAACTCTCTTAAATGTGCTGCAACATCAATTGAGTTGGCTCTCTGCATTTAAGGGTTTACCTTTTGTAAACATGTTATTTGTGGATTTAATTAATATGTTTTCTCTATGATTTTTTTACTTCCAGCAGCACAACTGAATGTTGACATAGAGTCATATAGGAGGCCCTAGAGATTTTTAAAGAGAACATACCTATAGGAATCTCTAGATCTTCCAACATGATTCTTTGATCAAATTCCAATAGAAGTTGACCCCCATAGAGTTATATTGGAGGGCTTAGAGCAGTGTTTCTCAATCTGGGGGTCGGGACCCCTGAGGGGGTCGCGAAGGGGTGTCAGAGGGGTCGCCAAAGACCATCAGAAAACACAGTATTTTCTGATAGTCATGGGGATTCCATATAGGAAGTTTGAGCCAATTTTATCTTTGGTGGAGTTCAGAATGTTCTTTGTCATAAACTATAAATCCCAGCAACTACAACTCCCAAAAGTCAAGGTCTGTTTTCCCCAGGCTCCACCAGTGTTCACATTTGCACATATTGAGTATTTGTGCCAAGTTTGGTCCAGATCCATCATTGCATGAATCTACAGTGCTCTCTGGATATAGGTGAACTACAACTCCCAAACTCAAGGTCAATACCCACCAAACCCTTCCAGTGTTTTCTATTGGTCATGGGAGTTCTGTGCGGCAAATTAGGTTCAAATCCATCGTTGGTGGAGTTCAGAATGCTCTTTGATTAGGGTGAACTATAAATCCCACAACTACAACTCCCAAATTAGAAAATCAATCCTCCCCCAACCCCACTAGCATTTACATGTAGGTGCATTGGGTATTTGTGCCCAGTTTGGTCCAGTGAATGAAAATACATCTTGCATATCTGATATTTACATTATGATTTATAACAGTAGTAAAATGATTGTTATGAAGTAGCAACAAAAACAATGTTATGGTTGGGAGTCACCACAACATGAGGGACTATATTAAGGGGTCACAGCATTAGGAAGGTTGAGAACCACTGGCTTAGAGAATCCTAGAGAGGTGTTTTTTTTAACTGATGTTTTCCCACTTTTGTGGAGGTCCTGACCCATTAACCCCTGTGAAAGTGGAGGATGTTTTGTAAAAAGTAAAGGTAAAAGTTTCCCCTTGACATTAAGCCTAGCCGTGACATTAAGCCTAGGGAGCTGGTGCTCACTTCCATTTCTATGCCGAAGAGCTGGCATTGTCCATAGATGCCTCCACGATCATGTGGCCAGCATGATTGCATGGAGTGCCGTTACCTTCCCACAGAAGCAATATCTATTGATCTACTCACATTTGCATGTTTTCGAACTACTAGGTTGTCAGAAGCTGGGGCTAACAGTGGGAGCTCACCCCGCTACCTGGATTCGAACCACCGACATTTCAGTCAGCAAGTTCAGCAGCTCAGCAGTTTAACCTGGTGTGCTACCCGGGGAATCTACTGTACACACCTGCATATTAAAAATGTATCTTTACAATTGAGGGATGCAATTAAATCTGAAATGATTGAATGCGGAGTTTTGTTGCTTTGTTTCTGTTTCTTTCAAGTAGATTCTCAAGTCGCTCCTGACATTAAAAAAATCAAGTAGAAATACTGGTTTATTTCTTTTTAATAGTTGAGTATTTACTCTTTCTGCAAATAGGTCAGAGCACAAGGTTTTCTCCTGCAGAAACTTTGTGAAAGAAGTTAGATTGGAAGATAGTTTTGTCTGATCTACCATTCAAAATAAACCTATCTAATGATCACACATCAGAACATGCCTCACAGAATGCTAATGCTAATGCTATATCATCCAATCAAAGGTGGCCCTAGGTAATTTTCAATGGTAAGCAAACAGTATTTTGGCGCCCCGCCAGTCCCAACCAATCACTGATATATATTTTCTGTTCGTCGTGGGAGTTCTGTGAGCCATATCTGGTTCAATTCCATCATTGGTGGAGTTCAGAATGCTCTTTGATTGTAGGTGAACTATACATTCCATTAACTACAACTCGCATATGTCAAGGTCTATTTTCCCCCAAGAGCACCCCTGGGCAAAATCAACTCTACTGCAAATGCTTACTTTGCATAATGGGTTGAGCTGTCCCTGCATCCAATAGATTTAACTCTGAGAAGGTAAGCAAATTTGGGTTTCCCCTTGCCCACATGCATCCTTTTCTACTACATCACAGTAATATAAGTTTTCCTATGACTCACATCTCAGAGCTTCTAATCAGAATAGTTCCCCTAGGGCCTTTCTTAGCTCATCTAATAACAACCATTTCTATACCTTATTATCCTGATCCGTATATAGTAGGCCTGGGTAACAACGGAAAAATTTGTTTCTAAAATCGATTTGTTTTTTGGGGGTTTTTGCGTTTCGTTATTTAAAATAATTACAAAATTTTCCTTTTAAAAAGTTCGATATTTACGAAATTTCGTAAATGTTAAAAAAAATTAATGAATCGATTTCCGAAACAATAACGAATCGATTCGTTAATGGCGGACGCGACCGCGAAATACGCTAAAAAACCTCCAAAAACTTCTGAAGCTTCCCTCTCCCTCTGTTGTTGACTGTTGGTGTGATATTATAATTTTTTTCACTAATTAAACAAAAAACAACTATAAAACTTGCCCCAGACATGCGGAAATAATAACGAAACGACCTCAAACCAATAACGAAACGAATACATAACGAAATACGAAGCATTTACAAAACTATTTAAAAATTCGTTTTTTAAAAAATTGCTCCAGAATGGTTCGTTATCGTTTTGTAATTTAAAAATTAACGAATTATTAACGAATTACGAATTAACGAAATGAAACCGCCCAGCCCTAGTATATAGGATTGTTTCATCACATGTTACCTTTTCAATAACAAGAATATGTAATGTAGCAGAAAATTGGCATTAGTTGTAAATCCATGCTTTAAAATTAAATACATAATTTTCCAAATG